TATATATATATATATATATATATATATATATATATATGTGTTTTGTTTATCTTATCCAAATATTTTATTCAGTAACAAAAATATGAAAATCCTAAAATAAATTTTTGTTCAAGCCATATAATATTGTAACATATAAAAAAGGATTAGTGCTACAAGCCTACAAATAATATTATTCATATTGAAAAATATTAATCACCGGTTTTTGGTGGATTCCAAGTTGTGCCCATGTAATTACTTCAAGAAGTTCCTCAAGTGTACCATAGCCACCTATAAAAATATTTACCGATATACAATATTAATAATAATTGACACTTGCCCCTATTGATTTTTTATTTTTTTTATTTTTTGTGTTTAACTTCGAACTTGTAAAATGTAAAAAATATGAGGATCTTTTTAAATGTATTGCCTCAACAAAAACACAACAAAGATAATTAGGTAATAAGTTAATACACTTAATTTGTGAACTCACAAATGAGACATATTTATTGTTTTGAGTTAGGTTCACTTTTTTTTAACGACAAATATAATACAACTTTAAACTATTCATGAATTCACTTATGCTTCGGACAAAACTTGAACCCTCAACTCAATCAGGGATCAACATCTGCTGGACTAGAAACCCTTTCATGAGTTAGGTTAATCAACTAAAACAATTTGGTTTTGCACGTTAAAATAAATTATATTCAATATATTATTAAACTTTTCTTAGGTTTTCATTACACCATTTAATATATTTCAACCGGGTAATTAGTATTAATTGAATCATACTGTTATTTACCGGTGACAATCAATATAATAAAATTTGTTCATTTAGATCTATTTGAGGCTAATATTCCTGTTCATTGTGATCGTATATTACAAATTATCCATTTCAAATTCACTTTAATGGTGTAATGAGAACGCATAAAAATAAATTAACGACTTATTAAATACAATTAAAATATAAGTGACATAAAGAACAAATTCGACAACACATTTTGAGTTTTATCTCATTTGTTTTCGTTTTGTTTTTTTGTTTTTTTTTTGTTTTTTGTTTTTTTTTTTTTTT